ATAATAAATAGGTCAAACTTACTCAATGTAAGGTTTGACTTCTTCACAATTTAGCAATATATATTGGTGTGCTTGCTCTATGTTCTAGTTATGTCAATTTTTTTATTTTGTATCGACCAATTGATCGACCCGGTTGCTTGAATATGGATAACGATCCTTCAATGTGGTTTTCTTCTTCATTGTTGAATTCAAAATTATGGGGCATTTTTTGATGCCTTGTATCCATATGAGGCTCAAAATAATACGAGCAAAATAGAGAGGCTTCTTCGACCAAATATGCATTGTATGTTAATCATTCCACTTTGGCTTTATTCTTAACATTATTTTCTAGTTTCCATGAGATACCTACAAATATGAATAATCTTAACGTTCGAAAGTAATAAATTTATTTAATTTGATTTTTAAATTGAATGTCAATACCTTTCGAATAGATATATCCATCGATATTGCACGGACCCCACAATAAATGCCTCATATAAAAGATGAATTGGAAGATGTTCCATTGAGTTAAAAAAGCTAGGTGGAAATATACATTCTAGTTTGCACAAAATGATGGGTATCTCATCATTAAGTCGCAACATATCCTCTTGCTTTATGATTGTAGAAGTCAATTGCTTGAAAAATAAACTCAACTCTATAAGTGATTGCCAAACATTTCTCGGTAAAAACTCTCGAAATGTAATTGGAAGTAAACTCGTATGAAGACGTAATAGTCATGACTTTTCATCCTATAAAGTTTATCATGTTGCATATCAACACATCTAGCTAGATTGGACACATATCCATTAGGGAATCTGAGTTGTTTTACCCATTCAAGCAATCTTCTTTTTTGTTGTTTCAACGAGTATATACAGACTTTAGGATACTTTCCGGACGCATCATCCTTTGCTAATTCGACATTTTATAGAAGAGTTTTAAGTCTTCCCCGGAGTTGGCATTATCTTTAGTTTCTCTCGACACATTCATGATTGTGTTAAAAACATTATAAAAAACATTTTTCTCAATATGCATAACATCTAAATTATGCTTGGATGACATTTTTCTTCTTTCGATCCTCAACAAGAACTTCTATATCGAGGATGTTGACAAAATTTGCATTTATCTAATTCATTATCTTCCTTCGAATAAATCATGCACTCGTTATGAAAATAATGAATTTTTTTACCCATCCCCTTCACCGACTTCTTTGTTTCATAAAATTTTTATGTCATACGAGTTATCAACCGGCATCAACTCATTCATCGACTCATATAACTGATCGAAACACTTTTCCGAAAAATAATATTCGGCTTTTAGGTTAAGCATTGGAGCAACTGTTGACAATTGTAAATGCTTATCACAACCGAGCCAAATCTCTCTACGTGATGCATTCAACATATCATAAAAGTGTTGACGCTAGGATTAAGAACCTCCTCCGTGTTAGATGGATCAAAGGATGGATCGATTGCATCCATTACCATACTTTGATATGGGTTTTGGGGCTCACTAGAACTACCTTCACCTATATAATAATTTCCGAAACATGCCGACTCCTAGAATTTTCGGGTCTCATATTAGCTTCAAATTCACCATGATGCACCCAATTATAATATCCCGACACAAAACCTTTATGGCACAAATGAAATTTGATCGTGTCAATCTCTTCATAATTTTGGTTTTGACACTTACCGAAATTACAAGAACACCTAATTTTGGCTCGTCCATACATTCGGGATGCTCAACAGACAAAAGCTAAAAATTACTCTACACCTCGACAAATTCATCATTTAACAATCCATTTACTAATCTAAAATTCATCCATTTTCAATCGAGTCTCATTTTTTAAATTATTGCAAAAATAATAGAACCATTGCAAACAATTACTTGTCATCATTCCGAATTATTTTAAACAAATATTAAACGATTATATTAGTTATATAATTATATGTAATTAGTTATTAATTTTTTTCAAATTTTACTTCCAATTTAAACAATTATATAAAGAATGATTACATTTTTGTTGTAAATACTTAATTTCTTAATATTCAATAATTTTTTGTATAATTTTCTTAACATTTTCAACCTTAAGTGCAATATATAATAACGTTAACCTAACCTAAATAAAATAATTAACCTAATTTAAACTACCTTAGGTAATTTAAGGTAATGACATTATCATTTTCACTTAAAATACATGAAATTTTATACTTTTTTTTAACCAAAATACATTAAATTACATTATGAACTAAATAATTTTTCAAAACATTCAACTAAATTATTTATTTAATTCTATTAATTATCTAAATATTTCTATAATTTTAACATTTTTAAAGTTATTTAAGTAGTTACATTATCATTTTCACTTAAAATACATAAAATTTTATACTTTATGAAGAAAAAAAACGTTAATTTACATTATCACCTAAATAATTTTTAAAAATATTCAAATAAAATATTTATTTAATTCTATTAATTAATAAAATATTTATAAAATTTTTTATTTTAATTTTAATTATTTTAATTATTTTAATTATTTTAATTATATATTTTAATTGTTTTTCAATCCGATCAAATCATTATACATGTTATATTATTTTAATTTTAATAATTAAACTAATAAAATTACTTATAAAATTTACATTGAATTTACTAAACTACGTCAAAAATAATATAATTTGAAAATTAAATTTAAACAAACAACTAAGCAAATTAACCTATAACACTAAAAACAAATAAATCTATAATTAATTCAATTAAATCATACGAACAATTTAAAATTAAAAAAATTAAATTTTAATCTATCAACTGAAAATTAACCAAATTTATATTTTTAAGCTTTACGTTAACATAAAAATTAACCTAACAACTAAAAGAACAACAAACTAAAACTTAGCAAAATAAATCTAGCGAGTTATAAAAAGAAAATAACAACAAAAAATTTAAAATACTACATACAAATAACATAACAAGGTAATTAACAACATTTAAACAATTAATAAACTAATAAATAACAAAATTTAACTAAAAACATATAACATTTATCTAAGTTAAAAAAAAAAAGTTAAAGAGAGAAACTTTTACCCGACGGATCAAGTATATAGAGCACGGATCCGATCCAATTTTGAGGAAGAAAGATATCCCTTACTTTGTTGAATCCTTTGGAAAGAAATTTAGTGGCGTGGGGTAGCGTGGGTGGCCGTTTTTTTGTTAGCTCCGGAAAAGGAGGTGTAGTGGAGGTGAGGGAAAAAAATGAAGAAGTAGGAGGGAGGCTAATATATATAAGCAAAATAGCGACGGATCCAATTCTATAGCTATTTTAGGGGGGATTTCCCCCAAAATAGTGACGGACGGGTCCGTCCTTAATCGGCGATGGACATCGACGACGGACGGCTCGTCCATTGCTTGAATGGGGGAAAATTCCCCCTAATCGGCGACGGACCGACTTGTCCGTCGCTAAATAGAGACGGACGAACCGTCCACTTATCGTTTGGGTGGGAAAATTCCCCCCAATCAACGACGGACGATGGTTCATTGCTGATTAGCGATCAACGAGTTGTCCGTCATCATTTGGGGGAAAAATCAGCAACGGACGCCGTCCATCGCCGATCAACGGTGGACGCCATCCATCATTGATCAACAACGAACATCGTCCATCATTGATTAGCAATCGATCGACCGGTTTGTCGCGATTGGGAGGAAATTCCCCCTTCCACGATTAGCGACGGACTAGCCATCCGTCGCTAACTTGCGGGTGGAAATTTCCCCATAAGAGCTAGCGACGGACTAAATTCGGTCGCTAATTTTGACACATTTTTTCCCTTCTTATTTAGCGACGGATTTTTAACCGTCGCTAAGACTTCCTCGTTAATTCATCACTAAACCATCGTTAAAAATATTATTTTGTAATTTGTCGCTAAATTCCATTGCTAATTCATTTTTTCGATAGTGAAAGTAATATTTTAGAAAAACCATCTAATTTCGTCATGCTCTTCAAATAGAATTTTTTTGCTAATATTATTGATTATTTTGTGAATAAATATATCTAAACCTAATGTAAATACTTTTAAAAAATAATACTTTCATCACTATTAAATAAAAAAAATTATCTTTTTTATTTGTTAATTTTTATAAAAAATTTTTGTATTAAATGTTATTTTACTTTTTCGATACAATCTTATGAAAAAATTACTAAGGCATTTTTATATTAAAATTTTTATTTAAATTATTATTACTTTTTATTTAATAATCTATGCATAAAAAAGAACAAATCATGATAAAATTTATGTAAAAAATAAGAAAAATTAATTAAATATAAATTTTTATTAAAAAATAAAAAAATTGGGCAAAAAAATACTTTTACTTTTGATTTGTTATATTTTAATTGAGCCACAATTTGACACAAGTCATCAAATTAATATTATTTTTTAACATTACGCAAGCAACAAACTATTATCAACTAAATTTAAATTGATATGAGAAACTAATTATTTTAGTTTAAGGGATAAAATTTTGTGGGTCTGTTTTTAGGTAATTATCAAAAAAGAAGAAAAGAAGAAAAAGAAAGGAAAAAAAAAGCATTTATGCTTTTTTAGGAGAAATTTTATAATACATAAAAAATGACTCGATGGCATGTACGATAGTTAATCTATGGATCCATTTGAATGAGAGAGATAAACACATAAAAAAAATAGGAGAGAGAAAATTTTAAAAAAAATGAGCGAACATAGAAATTTTTTATCACTTTTTGTGAGTCAAGATATAATTTTATGTGTCTATCTCTCTTCTCCAAGTGGATCTATAGAGAACTACTATATATGTTACTAATTACTGTTTGTGTATTATAAATTTTTATTTTTATTTTTTTATTATTATTTTTTTATAACGGATTTTAAGCTTCAATCAAAATAAAATGATATGTTTCGTGAATTGGTCCCTGGGTTTGTATATAAAATCCAAGACTTGGTCTTTCTTAAACTTCAACCCCAAGGACTCTACAAGGTTTCTTTCAATCTGGAAGCATAATGTCTGAGTTTTCGAGCACTCCACAAGAAGATCCTCTCCATTCTGTGAACACTGCCCTTTCCCTCTCTTTAACTCCCGCCTCCGAATCCTGTTCAGGTTTGGATTTCGATATCAGGAGGTCCGTTGATGATTTTCACTCTTGGAATGTTGATGATAGTCTCTACTATGAGTCTCCTTCGAATTATATTGACCATTATGAATTTGGGTTCGAGTTAACACTCGGTGGAAACCATTCAAGTTCTAGTGGGACTCGGGTTGATTGGTATTGGGATTTGAATTCGAGTTTTAATAATGGTGATACTGAAAATATGAGTTCTAGCAGTCAAAGTGGTGATGAATTACAAGAATTGGAACCAGAGAACTATGAAAGTGAAAATCTTTCTGACATGGTGATTGATGATTTATTAGAAGAGACATCGTTTGTGGCACATATTTTAGAACCATCGTTACATGATCTTTATGAGGATTTGTTTTTTGCCGATTTATTTGCTGATTCTGAGTTAGACACTTCTTTTGATCCATGGGTGCTACCTTGGGTTGATTCAAGGAGAGGTTTAGAGGCTGCCGAGAGCGCAGGGGAAAGTCTGCCTTCGGTGGCTTTGAGAAAGGATGATTTGAAGGATGGGTTTGGGGTTTGTGCAATTTGTATGAATGGGGTTGTGGAGGGTGAGATGGTGAAAAGGCTGCCTTGTTCTCATTATTATCATGGAGAATGTATCTTGCCTTGGTTGAGGATTAAGAATACTTGTCCGGTTTGTCGATATGAGCTGCCTGTTGATCGGTATGAATTGTCTAGTGATGATCAAGAGCATGAGAGCTGGAATTGGCAGATATTGGCGCCACCAACTCTGCCATCTGATCTGCAAGGTTGGAGTTGATTTGTTCTCGAACTTGTTGGGTTTATTAAAATTTGAACTTTGTGAATAGTGATTTTTATAACATTATATGAGGTTTTCATGGTTTATGAGTTTTAGAGGTTTTATTTATGATGGAATTTCAGCTTTCTAAGATGAATTTGCTATATATATATATATATATATATATATTTTTTTTTTTTTTTTTTTTTCCAGTTAACTGAATTTGTCCTTGATTTGAAGTCGTGCCCGTATCTTGGAAATCTTTTGATGATCAATCATTGTCAGATTTTTGCGTTTTAATTGATGAGAGCATTAGTTGTTTTTTGCCATTTTCATGACTACGGCTGGAAAAGTTGTGGGACATGGAATGGTTGCATGATGAAAATTTCAACCTTTATATTGGATCATCAAATACAACAACAAAGCCTCAAAACCATACTAGTTGGTTTGCCATATGGATCCTCTTTTGCCATTCAAAAAACAATGGTAGCTAGATTGCATCTCTTTTGTGATCAAAGATGATCAATTCCATGGATTGTTGTGCAGTTAGAATGACTTTAGTTGCATTTTTGGTATAATGATGAAAAGATTTGAATATATCTTTTAATAACCTTTTGAGATCCGTCTGTGGTGCATATTCATCGCCTTTCTATTCACAATTCTAGTGTGGAATTATGCATTTCATTAAACACTTCTAGTAAATTTATTGGTCAATGGAGTTTTGTTTATAATATTAATTAGCCATCCTCTCCACTTTGAATGTTCTCTAAGTTATCTATTGCTGGTTTCTTCTTTCGTTGTTTGATTACATCAGATATGTTCCAACGTAAAGTATACTTCTGTTGGGATTTTGACAATGGTTGCCCTTTAAAATGGAAAGATCCCTTCATCGAATCTCGTAGCAAAACCTTCTCGATCTTATCTTTCACGTTTTATTTGCTATGTTCAATAAGATTAATTGTTGTTGGCTTTCTGAAAGATATGTGAATGTTTAGATTTCTTTTGGTGCATATTTCTGCACAGAGGAAAAAGTTCTGAATATGATTGGCACTAGAACCTCATGGGAGACGAGTATTCATTAGAAATTTAGGCCTATTGATTAACGACGAGCATGTATGCGTCATGCATGTATTAGCTAACTGATCATACCTTGTCTATGAATTTCCATTTCAAGTTTTTCAACACAAGCAATAAGAATGTTTTTTGTTGCTCTGCTATTAGAAAGACATATAGCACTGTCTAAGAATCTTATATCCATTCAGACTGAATTGGCGACTAAACAGTTTGGGCACCTTTGTTTTATTTTTCTTGTTTTATTTGATTTACAGCCATCTTTACAGATCATAGGGACTATATTTGTTTTCTCGGTGATGATCAATGCTTGTACAATGTGTAGGAGTCTTCTTGCTTTATCCTTTTCTCTTGTAGTTTCTTGCCTGCAAGATAGTATCGGGTTGGACTTGCAAATTGAGTGCTCAAGCAGTGAAAAAATTTAGAGCAAGTAAACTGCTATGGTTAATGGCACTATTTTCTGTTCGTTTGTGCCAAACACATTTTACTGCAAAATTTGTTTCTGGTTGTATGCATCAAAGCTCTCCTTGGTCCCTATCAAGAAAGCCACTCTGGCCCTCGTCGTCAGTGGAGAAACCCCTGTTCTTTGCAGGGAGTTCTGCTTACCATTGTGCATACCTTATTAGAGATTAAATCAGGTGCTTATCGTTGAGTGTTGATGCTTAGACCTTGTCAAGCAAATGGAGTCCTCTAGCGTCAGCATATATAGGGAAAGATGAGGGGAGAGGAAGTTCCACAAGGTTTAATCTCATTGAACAATTGTGCCCTCGTTATACGGTTAATTAGTTGCAGGTCGGTATGATCTTTTTCAGGATTCTTAATTTAACAATGTACATGGTCCTGCAGTAGACAATTTCACAAAGTCTTCCCAGTTGTACCTCTAGAGAGGCACAGGGATGATCCTAGGTTCCAACATTTGGGTTTCGATTGGCTAGTTAAGGAGCAAAAGAAATAATTGTCCACATTGTAGGAAAGTCAATAAATTTATAAATAATTTCCAGGATGGACATGTTTCATAAACTGTTAGAACCAGTTAAGTTGTCCCAGAGAGGGAAGCTGAGGTGATGGTACGTTGGTCCAAAGATTAGAAGCTACTTAGTCCTATCAAACCTGGAGTGGAAAACTGTACGTCCATTTAGTCTTGGTCAGGTTTCTAGGTTCAGATCTAAGCAATAAAAGACCACATAGTTGCTTCAGCCTTCAGGCACAATGTAATTGATTTCTTGGTCTGGCATTAAGGGCTGAAGCTGTTTTAGGCTTGGATAGTTTGTTTGGGGGTTTAGGCCTAGATACCTAGGCTTTATAGGGCTTTTAGGTTTGTTTTTTCTGGGCTTCAAATTTGCCTGGTAGTAATCTCTTCAAATTTTCTGAACTTTCTGGTCATTTTCAAAAAAAAGAAAAAAGAAAAAACGAAAATCAAAAGTTATGTAACATGATAATGGCCTGGTAGTAATCTCAACACAAACGGGAAAAAAAAAAAAATCCATGCTGTGTTTACTAATTTAACTGTCAATATTTTAACTACAGCATTGCAGTAATGTGTAATGAAGAAGGGAAGTTTGTGCTAGTGCCAGGCAACAAGAAAGGAGCTGGGACCTCTGTCCACCACTGACGACAATAGTATTAACTGTCAAGTTGGGTTAAATTACATAGCAGTTATTTTATCCGTTCACTTCTCTTCTTTCTCCCCATTTGTAATTGCCTAGCAACCATGAATTAGAGGGTTACATCACCATCAAAACACATAACCAACACACACACAAAAAAAAAAAAAAAAAGAAGTACGAAGAAACAAACAAACTAGTCATTTTCAGTAATGGAAGGAGCCTTATGGCTCTCATCGTGTCCACAAAGGCAATCAAAGTAAGCACTCATAACTCCATCTAGAAAAAAACAGTTGATGACATAGATAGTTGCGGCCCTTGGGATTGCCTTTGGTCCAATATTTCGACAAACACCCTTGTCTTTCTGATTCAGATGAATGTTTATTTTAATGGTAGTAGGGACTAAGAATTATTACTTCAATCATTTTAGGGTGGAAAATGATGGTCAAGGAGATGTTCCAGTGGGTGCTCACCTTTCTGTTTTCTTCAAATGATGTTACTCACCCTTAAATCCTTTGTTGTGTTTTTTTATTATTTTTTTTTTGTTTTGTTACAGCTTGTGGTCATCACTATCCTCCCACTTGTCACTTTGCCTTGCCCAAACCATTTATCTCTTGGCATTTCCACCTTCTTCACCATTCTTGAGGGTAGGGTTCTTCTTTATTTCCACCATGGTCACTTTTGTCTGTAATGAGCTTTATAATCCCATTTATTACTTTTTGCTGTTGCTGCTGCTGCTGCTGTTCGATCAATGGAATAAAAGCAAGTACTCTTTTTTTTTTTTTTTCCTAAAGAAAAATAATTTCTGGTTGCTTTTATGAGTTCAAAAATTATTCATAGGGTGCTGGGAAAATGTAAAACAAATACTCGGAATTGTTGTATAATTGACCACAATTCAATGGCTTTTTGGTGGACACGTATTGAGTTTAATTGATCATGTATACATGGGCTTTCCTCATGTTGTCTTTAACATGAAACATTTCAGTAAAAATATTCAAACCATGATAAATATTTAAGAAGCTGACATCTCCATGTTCATGGAAAAATTTGCTACAACTTTGATGATATGCATGGCTCATATTTTTTGTTCAACATATTTCCAATGATTTTTTTTTCTTGTTATGCTACAATGAGAGAGGAAAAAAAAAAAAAAACAGTCTCTAGTAGTACGAAGGCGACAAAATCATGAATTGCAGTGTGAATAGTAAAGAGGAAAAAAAGAATAATGTTCATTCCTTTTACGTGAGATGTTGCAATGACAATCGTATTATTATTTATATTATGTTTCTTTTGGGTAAAACATGATTGAGTGTTCAATTTTGAACCATATATCCATCAATTTTTTAAAAGCTTATCATATAATCATGATTTTTTTAAGAAAACAAAAGAAGAAAAAATTAAGCTCATACGATTTAAAAGATTCATCTAGAGAATGAAATGATCTAATGTCCTTTAATGATATTCTTTTTATTGCATCATTTCCTGGAGGAGAGAGAAATATAATGCTAAAACTTAGATTTACAAATTTTAAAATACTCGTAATTAATAATACTTATTTTATAAATCAACTTTGAAAAAAAAAAAAAGACAGACATACATAAAGAGGAGAAAAAATCGTATTTGAACCCATCAACAGTAATTATAAAAATACTTTTACCTATATTCAATTTTATTTTATTTTTAACTTTTTTTTCTTATTTCTCTATCCTCATTGTGTTCGTATTTCTTTTTAAGGTAAACTTAGAAAATAAGTATTATTAGTTATTTCATGAATAACATAAAATTTCTTGGTATTATTGAGATCCTCTCCTATTCCTAAAAGAATATGATTGTTATGTTCATTAAATTTAAATCATTAAATTCAATTTGAATTGTCATAATTTAGTGTGATAAAAATGAAAACAACTTAACTCTCTAATATTTTATGTCTCTCACTTAATCTAATCAATCACTGAATTCAAAATCAGTGGTGAGATTTGGAACATGATTGGTCATGTTTTCTTAAAACCGAGAGAATTCAAATCCTCAAAATTAAATTTCTTTCCAAGTTTGATTACTTTCATTTCTTAGCTATTTATTTAAGGATAAATAGCTCAATTTATTCTTATATAATAGTTTGATTTTCCAATCTATCCTTACATTATTAATTACATCTATTACAATCTTGAATAATGTTTAAATCTCTAATATGTCATTTTGATCAATTTTTCCGACAATGAATAAATTTTTTGAACAAATTTTCTAACTAAAACACAATTAAAAAAAATTCTAAAGAGTTGAAACATAAAATTTACGGGTCATGTGAGGTTATTTATTTATTTATTTATTATTTGCATTATTTGCATT